TCAGATACATGGAAAAATCAATTTTACAAATAAGTGGGTATTCTTTGTTTCAGGGAAGTGGCGATATTCGGAGATTGGCTGTAGTTGAATGCAGGGCGTGGAAAGAAGGCTCGTCTTTCGATCGTAGGGCGTTACTTGACGCGATAAAGGAGACAAAAATTGAAAAAAGCCTGACTGGAAGCAGAATTTTAATCTTGTCCGAGTAAAGAAAGAATATGAATTTGGTTTAATTTTAATTAAATAAAAGGGAAAGTTAGCAAATCTGTGTACAAATTACACATCAAAGTTCCGGTATTGTTCAATTATAGAAAGTTTATTAATCTGATTCATTATTTTCTTTTTTAAAAATGGAGAAAAAGTCTGTAAATGACGTTCTTCATTTTATTTTCTTCAGTGACGGTGCCAAACGCTGCGGGCCATTCTGTGTTGTTTACAACTGCCTGGAGCAAATATCCCTTGACAACGAATTTGATATGTTTACGAATACACGTTTGCTGCAAATTCGAAAACCGGAATTTATCTCAACATTGGTATGAAAAACAAGATAAGAGATTGTGAAGCCAAATTATAAATGAAATAAAAGTAGGCCTGAATCAGAAATTTTTTGCTAATTAAGGTCTTCCGTTTCCAACGGAAGACCTTCTACTGATTCTGTTGTTTCTTTTCCACTATTATTATTATTATTTTTTTTCTTACCGATTTTGTGCAGACGATTTCTCGAGAACGCCTCGACAGTTTTTCATGAAACTTTCAGCAATGATAGGAAACTATTTGATCTTTATGCGTTTTTTTTTTTATTTTGCCGTCGTCACTTCCGGTCGCGAGATATGACCATTTTTCTGTTTTTAAAGTGTTATTTTGTCCGAGAGTGTTCTCGAAAACGGGTGGAGATTGGGCCCTGAAACTTTCAGGAATGATAGATTATGACTCCTAGATTTGAGAAGGATATATTGTTTTTGTAGCTGTCGCGTCCGTCGTCCACCGGAAGTAGTTTAAAAATATGCAAAATTTTAATTTTTTTCTTTTTTAAATGTTTCTTATGGAGGCAAATAGAGTGTCTCGAGTAATATTATGTCCACCGGAAGTTACTTTTTCCAAACCGGAAGTTGTCTAAAAAATGAGCATTTTTTCCTCGAAATAATCAGGGATGATTCTTTCACACTCAGAAAGGAGTTATAGGTCATTTTAAGTACTTCCGGTCACACCGAAAGTGAATTATAAAGACCGGAAGTTGTTTGAAATTGATAGATTTCACTCTTAAATGTGTTCTCACGTATTTTAAATAATTGATCTGAACACTTTTTTTCCATTTAAAGTTGTTTTATGACCTTATCAAAAATTGAACGGAAGACCTACTCGTTGCTCGCAACGAGATCTCATCTAGTTATTATTCTATTTGTGCTAGTTTGATTTCATTTCTTTTTAACTCTATTGTAGGATAAGTACCAGTTTTGCCATGACGTTTTAGCCGAATATCTACAGAATGATACAGTATATGCTAATTGCTAAATGGGCCTAGCTGCAAAAAGTTAAACTTGATTCAATCATACATAATTTTATAAACAAACATGTGAATGGGATTGGGAAGCAAGCGTCGACTGTGTTAACCCTCTCTGTAGTAAAAATACTGAAATGTTTAATGTTTGCTTAATGAGCACAGTCTGTAAAAATAATGATTTTACCAATTTCAGCCACTAATTATAAATATATTTTCCCTAATTATTGCAATGTTTAGAAGCAATATAGCATAAATCAAAAGTTTATTCACCGGACGGACCAAAAAAAAACATGATAATGCAAATGTACGTATTTAAGTTTTTTTCCTTTTATTTCTTATTAATCAGATAAGTATTAAGATATGGATTATTTACTTCAAATAAATTCATTTATTAATACAAAGCGTTAAAAGATTTAACAAGCAAGTCTGTACATTTGAAATTTTAATGTCAAGATGCGACCCGTCTAGCAAAATGCTACTTTAAAAATCATGAAGAAGATCGATTTTTCACATCAAAAACTCTTCATTTGTAATACCTTTTCTGCCTTTATTTTATTCATTTGTACTTATCTTTATTTATCAAGGACACAAACCCTAAAAAACCAACAGACAAGGATATTGTTTTGTTTGCATTTAATGTTTATTTTCTTCCCTGCCAATATTATATAATACCTGTATGTCTTAATTTGAAAAAAGTACAGCGACTTCCAATTAGCAAAACAGAAGGAAATATTTTCATAATTTTTTGAATGTATTTCCTTCCAAATGTTATTTCCTTCCATTGACCCTATGATATGCAATGTCAAATTTAAATCACGTAACAATTTTAAGAAAAAACGCCTTTGATTGACATGGGTTCTGAATTTTCATTGGTACATGTACCTCAATCAATGCGGAAAAAATTGCGGATTGAAATTTCTTCCTTATACTTAACGACTTATCTTCAGGTGATTTAACATGAGGATGATAGAAGGTGTATTATGAGCAAAAGTTGTATTCTCATTTTCTTCCTTTATTTGCTGATCAAATAAATACGCTTCTTTTTTTCTCTGACGACATAGCTATTATATGTACATGCACATTGTGTATAACTTCGTTTTGAAATGCACATTGTAATTTGTTAATAAAGCTATTGTTTATTCCGAATTTACTCATATCTTTAATGCAAATAATGTGAAATGTTTGAAAAAATAGTGCGGAAAAACAAGTGCGACAAACTAACAGACAGACAGAGGTACAACTAAACGCGTACGGGGAGAAAACCTACAGCTTCATTCGGTGTCATAGCTAGTAAACTATTTTAAAAAAAATTATAGATACTGTAAAGAACAAATAGTAAAAATCTAATCGAATCTTCTGTTATATGAATAAAATGCAAATGCCAGAACATGGGAATAAGCTTCCGCAACAAGATAAGCCTAATATGTAATCTTTTTAATATTATATAAAATTATTGCAGAATAGGTTGATTCAATCTATTCTACTTATAATATCATATTCATATTTTATTATCGAAAAATTACATTTACCTTACGTTCAAATATATTATTTTAAAGCTGGTAGAAGACATTGGGAATGAAATGTGATGTAACGTCTTTGGATTCATATTAAGAAAACGAAGTGCCACACTTTTATAATCTGTTGTCCGTCTCATGTGTCTCTTGGGATAACTTAACTTTAAGATTTCTCCATCCAGATCTTGAAAATTCCATCTACAATCGTCATATCTGTTTTTTCATTATTATTTATTCTTGATTATAAACGTTCACTTTAATGACACATATCATGTGAGGAATACAAATAAACATCCAATGCTTCATTTTCCGCATATTCTGGTAAATATCAATGTTATGGGGAAGAAAAAATCTTCTGTATCACTTTAGTAAAAAAATATTTCTTTCTATCCAATAAATCACCTTTTCAAAAATGTCAATAAAATCAGTTTTTGGAGAATCAAACACGTTGTAAATCAAACCCATTCCAAAAATGAAATGCTTAAAAATGCCCACGACAATTATGTTACCAGATGTGACCAGTCGGCAGGATATGCTCACTCCTCCATGGTACTTGATCCAATCTCTGATGTTTCGGGGGTCGGTATTTACTCTGCCTCTTATCTGTATTATTGACTATTGACTATTGATCTTGTATAGTGTTTATTATCCCCAAATGTTTTATGCAGAAAATTCAATGGATAATTATGTTGTCAAAATAACTGTTCGTGGCGATGTTAAATTGTTGATAAGGATGTTCATATCATATTTAATCAAATGAAACAATGAATTTACCACTCAGTCTGATGCTTATATGTTTATCAAAATATTCGATAGTAATTTACATTTCATTTATTTACAATGATTATTTAATATTTTAATCCTTTTATAATAAAAGATCCCGCAGATTTTGACCCATTTGTTTCATTATTTGGATTAATTATTGATATTCACAATGACTTCAACTTTTCCTTCTTAAACTTTCCTTATATCTACAAAATGATTCGATACGCTTGTGCATATTCTACGTACATGTTTATCTAATTTCAATAAAAAGGCAAACTTTTGACAAACAAAATGATGAAACAACCATTTCAACAATTTTGTTTTAAGTAAACATTGCCTAAGTTTTATGGTCGATAAAAGACAAGTCATTAAATAAAATTTATATCAATGCAGCGAATATATTTTGACAGCCCGAATACATGTACTGTATCCATCAAATTGCTTACTTCTTTCCATCATCCTCTAACATTAAAACACCTTATCTTTTCCTCCTTTAATGAATAAAAAATCTGTAAACAGTTTGTAGAGTGTTGCCAATTTTATGACGTTTAATTAGTTTGAAATGCTCAAAATATTATTAACAACGGCATATACTTGTAGAATACACAAAATAAACCAAATTTGTAAAGAAAGATAATCCAAATTTCCAGTAAAACCAACGTAGACTTAACCAAAAAATCATGTATTTTGTAGATCATCCTTATCGACAATTTAACATCGCCACGAACAGTTATTTTGTCAACATATTTATTCATTGAATTTTCTGCATAAAACATATGGAGATAATATAACAAACACTATTCAGGATCAAAAGTCAATAATACAGATAATGATATTTAAGGATTTTTTTAAACTTGAAATACTGATATTAAAGTAATGTTGTTCATATTTTTTCCGACTGTTTATACATGTACGATTGTTCTAAAGGAAGTTTCACGTTTTGTGAAAAAGTGTAAACTGTAGTTAAATTGCAATTTAAAATTTTACCAAAAAATAAATTTTAATCAGTATTTTTAGAAGAGAAATGCCGTTTTAAAAAGATTACATCTCTTTTCCTCCTTTATTTTGTATATTTTTTTAACATTAATTTAATAACGTTTTATATGGATAAGCTGAACCATAGAACCTCTTTAAAAGAAATCGCTTGCTTTAACACATTGGGCGTCGCATGATTCTCCGTTGAATCACTCCTGCAGAAATGCACAAGTCACAAACGTCTGATAAATCTGTTTATTGCGTGGACCCCGAGGTCCACGCAGTAAATATATAAGCGAGGTTAAACCGGATGCCATGGGCAAGCGACAGGCTACGCGTGCACGAGAATGCTTTCGTCCCTTAGGCAACTTGCCCGTAGAATGATTCGCTCTATTCGAATATGCCATTCATCGGCAAATCGCATATCGTATTTATATATTCACTGGCGGATTCGAATTTCTCTCTTATACATAAATTATACTTTTATATACATACTAAGCATCGATTCTATGGCACAAACATTTTAAAAAGTAGGAAGAACTTGCAGTATAAAGATGCATGTAACTTAAAAACTTGAATAAAAAACGTCATTCGACGACTAGTTCTAGCTTTTAAAAGATAGAACAAGTTTTCACCGGCATTAGTTTTAAGCATGAAGGCTCGCAAAATAATTTGATATTTCAGCAATCCAAATACCGTTTAATAGAATTCTGTAGCAAAGGTTTTTAATAGGGAAGGGGGGGCTCCGACAAAAAAATCTGCGTACTACAGAGCTGTGCTACACGTGTACCATCAGATCTATTTTTCCCATGATAGATTTCTTCCGTATAAATCCAGAACAGTTGTCAAGTCCTGGCCGTTATGCGTTACATGTATCGAAATAGCCCGATTTTTTAGACTGACAAACTAAAGGCTAATCGGAGCTAAAATTTAACAATTTTGCTTAGAGACTACAATCAGTCATAAGTAAGCAGATCATTGTAAAAAAAAAAGTGAACAAACCTACATGAATATTCACTACACCTAGAAATTTTCTTGAATTGAATTTCGGTTAGAAACACATGCATATGGTCCACGTATTGCAGTCCTTTTTTAAAGGACAGCAACTTGTATAGAAATTATAGGGCAGGGTTTTCAAGGTTTGTGAAAAAGATTTGTCGAATGAATAGTAAAATTGCATATATATCAATGTAGACATATTTAAGATGCTGATCTGGTAAAAGTTTTCCCTCTAAATTAAAAAAAAAAAGTAAGATCTCTTTACACTGTATATTGGTGGAGAGAAAATTGAGAAGATCTTTTTTTTTTTAGTTCTGACATTCACATTTGACCTATTATAATAAAAAAAAACATTTAGCAAATTGGATGATGCTCAACTGAAAAACAAAAAAAATTGTTTTTCAAAGAAAGTTGTGATTTAAGACATTCGTTTTACATGCATGCATCTTTAAAATTTGAATGTTTTGTAATGACAGTGAGACAAGAATTGTCAGTCCTTGAAATCTTATACATTGATTATAAGGATTCACAAGATTAACCCTTATACACTTTTACTTTGCACACTTCTTATAAATATTGTATTAGGTGTAAATTTTAATTTGAATACACAGCCAATGTAGCAGATAAATAAATTTAATGATTTTTTTCTGAGTTAGAAATTTATTATAGAGCAATATATTGTCAAAGTAAAAAAAAACACTGAGTAATGTTCCTTTATCTTACAACATGTACATGACATTTGGCACATAATTATTTCAAAATCCTTTATGTTAGAAATCATAGGGAACAGGGAAGTGTATCTGACAAAATTGATGTTCCAAAAATGGCTCTAATTTATCCACACTGGCAAGAGTCTGGTTTTACCATGAATTTCTTTTTAGGATAGAAAATCAATGCAAATTTCATAGGATTTTCCTCAAAGGTGTACAAAAATGAAATACAGTTTTAGATGATCTCAC